TAAATTTGTTATTCTAGTGTCGAAAGGACGATCAAGAACCATCCTCAGCACTCTATTCTGAGCGACCTGAATTTTGTTCCTGTGAGTCTGTGCACATGATTCCCACACCGGAGCTGCGTAGAGGATCGCAGGTGCTACGATTTGTTTGTAGACGGCCAGTTTGTTCACCCTTGAGAGGCGGGATCTGCGGCAAATCAGCGGATACAGACTCCTAACCAAGGCGGAACACTTGACTACGGTTTTCTCCACATGCGAGCGGAATAGGAGCTTTTCGTCAAACAACATCCCGAGATAGGTTACTTCGGCGGACCACTCAACCCTTGTGCCATCCATGATTACAGTACAAGAGGGAGCCGGTTTTAGTTTAGGTGATTGTCGATGGAGGAACATGATTGTTTGTGTTTTGGAAGCATTGATTTTGATTTTCCACGTGGTGGCATAATCAGCAAAGGCGTTAAGGCATCGTTAAGGCATCGTTGAAGTTTGTTCGTTATTTCGCGAGGCATCCGTCCTTTGACGGCTATTGCGGTATCATCTGCGAACAGGAAAAACATGCAACCGTCTCCGAGGGGAGGAATATCGGAAGTGTAAATGCTGTAAAGCAAGGGGCCCAGCAGACTGCCTTGCGGGACTCCTGCTGGGATGGAAAACGTGTCGGAAAGACAACCATTCAACGATACCTTAAACGACCTTTGCTGGAGGTAGCTACGGGTGATTTTAACCAGATGTAATGGAAAGTTGAAGTTACAAAGCTTGTATACAAGCCCATTGTGCCAGACAATATCAAACGCTTTCTCAACGTCTAACAATGCCATGGCTGTGGACTTGGATACAGCTTTGTTACTTCGGATGTTATTCATCACCCGCACTAGCTGGTGATTGGTGGAGTGCCCCTTTCTGAACCCAAACTGTTCCGGAAGGAGAATGTTATTTTCCTCGACAAACTTGAGCAAACAATTGAGAATGAGTTTCTCGAACAATTTGCTCAGCGCTGAAAGGAGGCTGATTGGTCTGTAGCTTGAAGCTAGCGTTGGGTCCTTCCCGGGTTTGCGGATAGGTATGATTTTCGCTGTCTTCCAGATACTTGGAAAGTAGTGCAGTTCCAAGCATCTGTTGAAGACAGCAGCCAGCAGAGAGTGAACCTTCATGCTGAGATTTTTCAACACTAGGTTGAATATTCCGTCAAACCCGGGGGCCTTCATGTTTTTGGTGCATTTCAGCGCTGAGCAAATCTGTTCCACTGTGATTCTATCCTCCGGAGGGATGGCACAAGGGGAGGAATCAAGGTTGAGTACGCATTGCTCAACCTGAACTTCGAGCGGACTTTGGATGTTGGAGCCAAGCAAGTGCGATTTGGCAATATGCTCACCAATCGCATTTGCTTTCTCCTGAGGGGTGATTATGAGCCGATCGTCATCATTTTCATCTTTTAGTGGCGGAATGGGTTTAGGGTGCGTCTTTAAGACCTTGGCAACTTTCCAGAATGGTCTGGAGCGGTCGTCCAGATTCTGGACAAGCCGCCCGAAACTTTCGTTCCGGAGTGAGACCATTCTGGAAGCAATCTCCTTGTTCAGATTGGCCATTTCACGTTTCCTCGCTAGATCTCCAGTCCTCTGAAACTGGCGTCTACGAACATTTCTCAGGCGAATTAAGAGTTGGGTGTGGGAATCAATGGCAATAAACTTACCCCTCACAGGAACTCGTCGGACGCACGCCTCGTCAGCCACGGTTATGGCTTGGTGGAGTACTTCCAACGCTCGGCGATGTCCTCCACGGAGTCAAGCGGCGGGTTGTCGATGATGTGCCTGTCTACCACGCGTCCAAACTGGGCCCAGTTTACGCGATGGTAGTCCTTGCGCAGGCTTGGAGCAGCAGCTACGTTGTATCCCAGTTCAGCCACCACCGGTTGATGGTCGGAGCTGAGTTCGTTTAAGGCTACCGGCTTGGACAAGCCGGTATTTGAAAGAAACAGGTCTAGCGTCGATGGGTTGCCTGCCGGTGAGATGAATGTTGGCTCGTCCGAGAACCAAACGGAGTACAGCCCATGCTGCGAATGGTCGAACAGCAGACGACCGTTCTGGTTCTGCTGGTAGTTCCGCCATGCCTCATGACGAGCATTCAGATCTCCTCCAACAACGAAGCGGGAACCGGTACGGGTGATGGTGGACAGGTCCTTCTTAAATTTGGCCGCTAGTCCACTGCTGGCGGCACACTGTCGAGGGCAGTAGACGGCGATATACTGGACGTATCCAGTCGACGACTCCACCTCCACACCAAGGGCCTCGATGATAGAGGTGCGGATATGGGACAGAGTGTGGTATTTTATTCCTTTCTTGACGACGACGGCAACACCACCCCCCCCCTGGAGCTGGTGCGATCAAGCCGGATAATGTTGTGGTCAGGCAACCAGAAGCTGTCGCCGGACTTTAGATGGGTCTCGGTTAGAAGGCCCACGTCGATGCTGTGCTTGCGGAGGAAGTCGGCAAGCTCAATCTCTTTTGCTCTTACAGAGCAAGCATTCCAGGTGACGACTTTCCGTACTCTAGCTTCATCGCCTGCTTAAATTTGATATTGCTTCCATTTCATCAATTCTTGATAGATTTTGATGAAACAACTTTTAATCGCCGGTGGTTAGAATCCATTCCCCTCACGTCAAAGTCACGATTTCAATTCTCACCCCAGACAAGTCACGAATGACCCAAGAGCGTTAAAGTGACTATAATTAAAAAAACAAAAAAACAAAAACTTTCAATCGATCGGAAATTGCTTCTTGTGTTCGGTTTTCTGAAGGTTGTGTGAACTGTTAGTACAAGTTTAGAATAATTAGAAGATTTATTGGCGGCAAACCATTTTTTAGAAAATAGTTTTGACGCCATGATTTTTTTTTAAATATTTTATAAAGTCAGTAAAATTGATGAACAACCGTTACAAAATCAAAAATTAAGAAGCCCCTTATCTTAGAAGTTACATCATCAAAATCAGTCAAGACATGAAACAATGGGAACCGTATAAATTCTTTAGGCGAAAAACTTGAGTACACAAAGGTTAAGAACGCCAAATATGTGAGTACTAGGTTTTATACGAGCTTAGGAAAGATGCTGTCAAATTTTGGGTTTTTTGTCAAACAATCCGAAATCATCACAATGCAACTCACGTAGAAGCTTCTGAGCATCTCCATCACTCATTGGAACAGTTTCAAGCAAAGAGGCAATGCTTTAACACAGAACCATCTTAAATCTAATATGATTAAAAATGTACACTCGCAGTGTTGTTCGGAAAAAAAAAGATTCAGAAGATAAACTTTTCAGCTTGCCAGTAACGAACACCTATTTCAACAGTCGGACACATCCGCACCAAACCGCATAGAAATTTTCGAGCAGCTCCTCTCTTATAACATTCTATCAGAAGGAGGAAACCCAGAGAGATAGTATCATCAACGCGCCTTTGGAAGTAGGTGTATACAGGCATAATCCTCGCCGTATTTGCCTGCCGAAACCATGCAGTAGCTCAACGAACATCGCCCGAAGCGCAACAACCAACAGAGGAAAGATAAATTCAATTTTTTCCTTCTTTGCTCACCTCATCACTGGCTCCTTCCGTCGCGTCGCCACACTCAGAAGAATCCGTACCCTCCCCGAATAATTTTTCCACGGAAAACTTATCTCTACCACTGTGCTGCTTCTTCTTCTTCTGTGACTTTTATACGGTCCTAATGAGACTTTACGCCGGCCCTCAACTGTTATTTGAACACTTCCACAGTTAATAATTGAGAGCTTTCTTAGCCGTTTATCGTGTGGCAAGTACCAATCATACTCTACGCCCAGGGAAGTCGAGAAATTGTTCAACCCGAAAAATCCCGGGAATCGAACCCAGCCGCCTCCAGCATGGTCTTGCTTTCTAGCTGCGCCTTTACCGACTGAGCTAAGGAAGGCCCCCGCTGTGCTGCATATCTCTTCATCCCTGGCGTGGCTTTCTTTCGGGGCTGGGCATTATCATCGTTATCCTGTTGAATGTGTGTGCAAATATTTTTTTTCCGTATATATTCGTGAAATTTCATCGTACATTTGCACCATTATTCTTGTTGTCAGCTTGTAGGGTTTTGTGCTTGGTCCTCATTTGGATTCCGGTGAGAGGTTTGCGGATTTCCGCCAGCAAATAATAGCGCCAATGTTTTGAGAAAAATTAGCACCAACTGTTGTGTGCTGCTCGAAATGGAAGTGATGAAATGATCAGGAGAGCGGATGTGGTCCAGACTGATTACGTTTGAGGAATTGTAAGGGGGTATGAATGATGCGGAAATGTGAGAATCATTTTCTGTTGCATACAATGGACAAACATAATCTTTCATCGACAATTTTCACCTGGTAGAAACACCCGGCAAAGCAAACCCAAAACGAAGAATAAATCATTTCGCAATATTCCCATTCATGCCAATTCCATAAGACTCCTTCATCCTGACGTTCATGCACTGATTCGACTGACATTGACAAATTCCGACGAATCACGTCTTGCTTGGCTGTGCCTCACTAGGCATACAAATCACGTTCACCGACAGCAGCCAGCCGGTGGGGTCCGGAAGAATTTCGCTTTGAAATAAGCTTCAATAGATACGTGGTGGCGGGAGTACCATCAGAAGCAAATATTATTAAATCTGGCAGACCAACCGACAACGCGTAGTAGCAAAGCCATACCGGAGAGCATCGACGTGAAAGTTATGAATTTTAATTCGAATAAATTTTTCATCACAGTATCAGCATGAAAGATTGCTGCAGATGATGTTTGATGCGAGATGCTTCACTGTTAGTGAGAGGTTGGATCTGTTTCGTCTGCGAAATAATTGCTTCGATGTGAATAAGAGCAAAAGTTAGCCGTTGATCGTGAGATGGGTTTGAAAGGAAGCAACAACAGGCTCAAGCTGAAGAGTAAGATGGAAATTTTAATCAAATAAGGTTCTTCTGGGGCAAACTATTCAAGTTCGGTATAATCGGGACTGGATTCGAAGAAGAATATTAATTGCATATTATATAGACAGCTCACCTTTGACTCGAAGCAATCAGTAGTCCCACAAAACGTGTATCTGAAATGGAAGACAAAGTTGTTGTTTCAGTTATCTGAGACGGATGAATTTTCTTGAATTTGACTCTATCCTGAAACTCCCCGTGCAATAACCGATGATGGATAGAAATTGTCCTTGTCCCGAAACGGACAAGGAGCTTGTCTGTCAATCGTATTCTCTTCTTGCGTAGAATTCAAAATCATTTCCTCCAGTCGGACGGTAAAAAATGTCGATTGTGCACTTTCGAGTTTTCTTTTCATTCCCTCTGCCCTGACACACACCGACAATATTCTGTGACTTTTCACAGTCAATGGAAAGCGCACCGACATGGCAAACGGAGAGATAAAAAGAGATGAAAGTCAAACCGACGACGGTCGTGTGGACAACTCTTGTGGACAAGCGAAAGATCTTTTAATCCCTCCGTAATCCTGCCTGGTGAGACGATTACGACAAATTGAATTTTATCTACCTCATTGGAAGGCGCTTCTGGAGGGGTCCATAAATGGAAGTATCATCAGGGATGAAAGTTATGCCAATCCCAGGTGATTGAAGTCTAACTGGGGGAATTTGATTGTATCACTCGCATAAAAGGTAATAGGATTAGAATGATAAATTGGTAAAGGTGAGCTTTCGTTATTACTTATTCAACTATGAAATCTAGTTCCAGTCTGGTGATATTGATAAGAAAAAAAGAATACGGATAAATCCATGCATGTACAAAACGTTAGAGACTTACGTATGTTTAATGGACATTAGGCATTATGGACGTAAGGCATGACATATTATTCTTATATGGGTGTTTTTCAGGTATATGTTCTGCTACTCTTAACTTAAATCGGGCAACTCAGTTTGCACTGAGTTCATGAAACCCTTTATTGCCTTTACAAAAAAAAAATGTTTTCCGATTGAAAGGCTTTGTGTGCCTACATCAATCGTTGAGTTATTAATCTCTTTGCTGCACCCAACCGGAAAATGTAAGATTCTATTACAGATTTGCATAAAAAGTATGTGCAAAGAAAACTGGGAACACGGCTTAGGCCAAATACCGGTTTGGCGTAAAAAAAATGTATGGCTGGCAAGGAATCAAAAATAGCACCAAATGACAAAATGACAAGCGATCAACAAGCCGAATGATAGCGCTATGTCAGAAATGGAAATCAATAATGATATAAATGTCTTCTTTTCATGCCAAACGACCAAATTGTTGGCAAGCTGCTTCACGAAGTAACGCCGAAGATGATACACGTGTGTTAATGGGATTTTGTTTATGTCTGTGCTCGATTCCGATCAAGCTATGTCCTCTACCGTGTATATCAAGCTATATTCCAGTGTTAGATCAAGCTATATTCCAGAGAGAGTTTATCCTGGTAGATAGATTGAGCATGTTTCGAGTTTTCTTTGTAATATTAAGTGAATTAAACATTGAAACTTGTTTGAAGTGCATTTATTTAAAAACGATCCATGAAACTAGTGACTATAAGCATGGACAGACGTCTCACTAGAATTGTAAGTAATTTATACAAGGAACGCATTCAGTTTAGTTGCTTAACAGAATTTATAAACAATTGTAGACGCTGGTGTTGGAACAAAACAGGAAACCAGTGTAGAAAAATAATATTAATTGTACGGAGGTGAATTGAAATTATTATAAGGAAATCCAGATTAATTGAATAATTTAAAAAAAAAAAATGCAGTTTGAGCTGCATTAACGCCTCTACAAAACGGTGATGCATTTCTTTTAAAAGTATTTCGAACATTCTAAAAAATGACAGTTCAATGACTCCCTGCGCTGCCTGCTCAGCAACTTCTGAGACAAATGAAGGGATGATTGCTGCGATGGCTGCAACGAATGATTCCACTACCGGTGTGTAGGTGTGCAGGAGAGCAATATTCGGGATCAGAAGAAGTGGTTCTTTCCGACGGAGAAGTGCCAGAAGGTTGAAAAAAAGCAGGCAAAGCAACTGGAAGATCCAAAAAAGAAAGGGAAATCTTCCAAAAAGATGCTCATAACGAGCGAGAGCTCCGACAAGTGTAGTGTCAAGTCCAATCGGCAGTCCGGTTCCCTTTTTGAGAAAAGCTAAGCAAAGAGCGAAGAAGAAAAAGTTGGAGATGGAACGTCTGTTGGGGCAAACGGGCTGTTCATTAACTACGTAGACAGTTTTTTTTTTTTATTCTTGACCACCCCCTCCCCTTGCGTAAACAATTGCCCATACAATTCACTGGAAGAACATTCGAAAGGCAACAAGCTAGCGCAGGAGAAGAACCAAAACGGATTAAAGCCGACAAAGATTACAATAAGTGGAAAAATGGAAGCAAAGCCTGTGGATTCGGAAAATGACGACAGCGAAAAAGAAAGCGGGGAAGAAGAATCTGATTCTGTAGATGACGGATTTTATGAAAAGGAAAATGAGGAATCCGAGGAAACAAACGACGCATCTGAGGAGGAATCAGAGGAAGAAGTGAATCCGCAAAAAATAACGAAGAAAAGGTAAGTTAAGAAGAAAGTAGAACTACACGGGCTGGGGCGAAAATCCGTTGGACCCACGAAGCCATAACTGGCTGCGCGGAACGGAATCTCTGGGAAAATTCTCATATTCACTGGGAAACCAGAGAAACGGCCTCTGTTCGTAACTGCGAAGCGTCGAACGAAGCATGTGGATACAACGAAATCGAAAATCTTGTTCGTCAACAAGAGAGCCTTAAAGCGCTAGCATTAGAGAGCGTTCGGGGATAGTTGCTGCTACCGAAATCCGTACCAGTTATATACAAGCTGCAACAACTCTATAGTCGTTCCGAACAACTGTTACATTACCACCTAGAGAAGGTGAAGCAGTTGGATCTTCCAAAAGCCGAGAAATTGGGAAGGTTTATTCCTTTCGGAAATATAGTAGAGCAGCTTTGTGACCACCTTGAAGCGGCGGATCTGAAACAGCATCTCGTGAATCCGTTGCTGGTACAGACTCTGGTGGACAAACTTCCTTCATCTGATAAACGCGAATAATTGCGCTTCAAAACCAAAAAGAAGAAGGCCACCTTGACGATATTTACTGATTTTCTCTCGAGAATTGTATCGGAAGCATGTTAAGACAATACCTACGTCTAAGTAAAAGGGGAAGCCAAGAAAAGTCGTTCCGGAAAAGCTGGTATAGGAGAAAGGAGCAATGTATAGCCACAACGTGACAGGAAACTCGAGAGAAAGCAACCCAGTTAGCACCACTGCACCCGAGAGCAGAGTTGCGACCTATCACAATCACGATCGTCAAACAGCTGATGGTAGTAACGCTTTATACATTCCTATCAATGTGCTCGTCGAAGCTCTCTCCATGACCATCCATCAAGTTGACGAAAGAAGTAAAAATCAACTGGTGAATGTCGTCTTCGGTTGTGATCCATCACCGATCTGGTCATTCTCGACAATCACGACACTCATCTGTGCTCGTTTTGAAGCAGTTGCTGCTTTGCTTGTTTATGTGAGTGTGTTGGTGAGTGAGCCCAACAGCTTCCGTTTAATGTTGCCTGCTTTGTTTGTAACTCACACAGTCGTGCCTGCCGAGACGAACTTGGAATGCGTAGGCATTGTTTTCATTTTCTTCTGTCGTTCCGCTTTTTCTCTGCAGAAGTATTCACTGTTTTCGTTGTGCTTTTCATCATCAGCAGCGAGTGTAACGTTTTGCTTGTGAGTAACGACCATTATTGGTGATAGTTGTTTGCCAAGGCTCTACCTCTCACTGCGAGACAAAACGTTCTGTCAGCGATAGTCGGTTGATGCGTAGACGAATGTCACGTGAGTGTCATGATATTTTGCATCACTGCCCGAGAGTCTGAAGCCTTGCAAAGTGTGCTAGCGCACAGATCACCGGCTGCGGTTTTGTCAAGACTGAAGGTCGTTGACAAAAGCAAGCTGTGTAAAATCTGCCTGAATGACGACGGAAACGCAGCTTGCCGATTCAAGATGCGATGTAACGTCGGCGTCGGCGAGTGTTGTATGGTATGAGACGAAGCGGCAACGGTAAATGGTATCTTTTTGAATTCCCAGTTGCTCACAGGTCCAGACATGCCACTCCACTACCGGGTGTTCTCAATCGTTTTCGGGAGCGACCCATCGGATTCGGCGGAGATATTCGTGAGATGTATCATCAGCTACTGATATGGGCGGCAGATAAGAAAACACAGATGTTTGTGTTCCAAAATTCATCAAACGAATCTCCAAGCGGGTTCACAATGGATGTAGTGACGTTTTGATCCAAATGCTCACCGTGCCAAGCGAGGGGCGACCCCGGCGTAGTGGTCAACATCCATACCTCTCACGCCAAAGTCACGAGTTCAAATCTCACCCCCGGACAAGTCACGAATGACCCAAGAGTGTTATAGTGACTATAATAAAAAAAAAAAAAAAAAAAACCGTGCCAAGCGCAGTTTGTGAAAAATCAGAATGCCATCGAGTTTTCCACCCAATTTCCAGAAGCAGCAGTAGCGATAATAGAGAAGCACTACGTCGACGACTACTTCGACAGCGTCGATACAATCGAAAAGGCCATCACTAGAGCGACGGAGGTGAGATATGTTCACTCGAAGAGGGGTTTTGAGATTAGCAACTGGATGTCCTACCAAGAGAATAATTCTGAGCTGCGTGATGGGATTTTTCGATCCGTTAGGCTTGCTCACACCGATCACAATCCACGAAAAAAAGGTGGTGCAAGATCTGTGGCGAACAGATTGCGAATGGGATGACGAAGTAGACGACGAAAGCCTTCATAAGTGGGAACGCTGGACGGGTCTATTGCCGAAGGTGGAAGACATACATATACCTCGCTGTTACTTAAAAAACGCTCGCCAATCGCCCATCCACTCTCTGGAGATGCATGTTTTTTCTGATGCAAGCATTCACGCTACACGGTAATGCTGTCTACTTCAGAGCTGTACTTTATCGACGGAGATGTAAGGATGCTGTAAACGGTAATATTAAACAATTCACTTCCCATTTCCAAATTCGTTCTGTTCACTGATTCGCTAACGGTGCT